GTTTTGACAGACGGATAGCGGAAATATATATCTGACAAAAACTCACTAAAGTGATTGTGATAATGGATTTATGAATGTGATTACGAAAACAGCATAACCATGAGTTTCAAAACGTTTCATACCGCACTGGCTGTCCTGTTAGCACTCCTGCCGAACCAAATCGCATCACAGGACAACGTCTTGCCCTCGCGACCTGGGGGATTGCTGGCGTCCTCAGGCGGTCCTGTGAATGGACACGCCGTAGGACCTATGGATGAGGTAGTTCACCTGAAACTACGACCAGATGAAGTTGAAGGATTCGTTAACGGTCCTACCGGCACGTCTGTTCTGACCGAGGAGAGACAGCAGGGCCTGGAGGGCAAGGCGAATGTGAAGTACGTGAACGGACCGACGTCGACGTCAGTGGAGGCCGAAGAGAACAGGCAGAGAGCTGGTGGCCAAGACGCCTTCGTCGGCGGTCCTGTGGACGCGTCAGGACCGCCTGGGGAGAGCCAGCCGGGCCAACAAGGACCTTTCGTCAACGGCCCCACGGGGACGTCTGTTGCTCTCGAGGAGGGGCTGCGCCTGCCGGAGGAAGGTCGCGTCGTCGTCAACGGCCCGACGGGCATCTCGGTGGAGGCGGAGGAGAACCAGCAGAGGCTCGAAGAGGACGGGATCGTCAGCGCCTCCAATGCTCAGAAGAACCGAGGGAGAATATCGACAAATCCTGAAGAAGCCGATGTCAACCAAAAGGTGAACCATTTTAGACCAGTGAACAAGGGAATATTTTAGTTCGTGCCCTATATTGCTTACTTTACTTTTACTTCTCTGATTGAATTAATGCATTAGACTTGCTGATATTTAATGTACATCAGTGCACAAGTACTTACACAAAAATACATGTATGTGAAATGCATATTGACCCACAATCAAGTCAAGTAGATCCCGCAGCGCGTCATCAAGCTATCCGACCTTGACATCAATCACTCGGGTAATATTATGCATCACCACCGCGGGATGAATGGCATTCCTAGTTATCAGTATACGACAAAAAACTACTCGAAAAATATATTAAAGGATCGAATTGCTCAGAAATGTTGGACCGTTGTATTACTCACAGTTAAAGCTTTGATCAAAATTAAACTCGCTTAATTTCCCCCCAGATACCTTCCGGACTCTACCATGACACCACAGACTGGTCGACGGATTCCAAGCACTGGAACTACAAGGCGGGCGAGTGGTCCCTGGTCTACCTCCCGGACAAGGACCACCAAGCCCTTCCCGCACACGAGATCCCGGGGCCCTCGCTGGTCGTCGTCACCGAAGACGTCCTGAAGAAGGTGACCAATTGAGAATGTCTTGTGCGTAGCATACGGCGATGGTGGGGATATCTATACGTACTTTTACTCGTTCAGCTTGTGCTTGTCTGGTGGTGATGCGAGGTATTGTGAAAGTTCTGGTGGTGAATGTTTGTCATGTGATGTGATGTATGAGCATGGTGACAGGGGCGCTAGTGAGTTTTCTTATGCTAAGCAAAGATGGAAGGAGCTTCTGGTAGAGTAAGTTCAGCCCTAAAACACCATGGGTCCGCAGTTTAGGATGAAATTCTCCCATGATCAGGTGTCAGTAACCGGAGGGAGGTGGGAGGAGAGGGATGGAAGTGGGTAAGGGATGCTGCGTTTCAGAGCGAACAAACTCCGCGTTATCTGCTGCTTCCCGGATGCGATGAGAGTGTCAGATGTTCAAGCAGATGGAGGAAGTTGCAGAATGGAGTTTAAGTTAGAGGATTGATGAAAGACAGACCCCTGGCATCTTTATTGTTTTATACTTACCCTGGCAGTCTATTCACCTAAAGGATACTACGTGAATATGATAATAGACGTAATAAAATGTATAACTGAGAAATTAATGACTTCCGAACACAAGATATGTAATTATATCTCTTGGGAAATTATTCATTTCTTTATATTTATCCCTGCAAACCTCCCAGCACCTGCACGTCCAAGTCTCACGTTCACAGTTTCATGGAAGTGAACGCAGCAGCCTTCACACGTGTACACAGGCTCTTCGCATGAAATTCCGCTGAGCGCTCGCCCTCGCCGCCCGTAACGCCCAACCGCACCGCGACGGCCACTAGCAGGCCTTCCCACGATTTACGAGAACCGTGTGTCAGTGAGGCTGGCCGGCGAACCGAGGCCACAGACGAACTGCAAGCAAGCACCCGGTCCTTGCCATCTTGAACAACTACGTCAGACTGTTTTAACATGGGATTGACATTTCCTCTCGGGCTAACCCCGTCCCCCTTTGGTTGACCTCCCTCTCCTCTCCTCCCCCTTCCCTCCACACATAATTGCGCAGACATACTCGAACGCACCCTTTTGAGTCGACTATTCGTTCCTTTTTCAGGTTTCTTAGAGTTGAAATGTTAATGACTTTATATATAATTCAGAGGGTAAGAATCATTACAATCTTCGTGGTATATTTCACAGTAAACCATCGGCCATCTACTCTTCAAAAACCTGTCGTATTGATCCACACAGTCTCTCCTCAACAGCTTATATCAACATCATCGTTAACGTGGAGTGCCATCAGATTTCCACGCTTCAATTAACCTCACAGCTTGGTTCTAGATTTACGTGTACGAATTACCCTATGAGTTTGGTTCTAAATTATATGTATATTTATGACAGAACTGCAAGAAGCTTAGTAATTACATCCCTTATATGGTAGGCATTAACCTAACAACCCGTATCACGTATCACTACGGACGTGACAGAACTAAGTGGGTTATGGAATCTTCCACGGAGGAAACTGACACTACGTCGTTGTTCTTAAAGTACGAAAGAGAGTAAATAAATTTTTAAAATACAATGAGTATTTTCTTGTTGTTGCATAATCCCTTGCTCAAAATTTAAATCTAGTATAATTTCCTTGAAAATTAAATTATACTTCGTAGTATGACATTTGCATAATTAATTATTATTTCGTCAGCAGAATTATTTTCTACTGCGTATAGAAGCAGTATAAGTATGGTTGTGGTATGTTTTATATCTACGAGTAATTAGACATTTGATTTGGTATTTGTATAGGTGTTAGAATCAATGCCGGGAGATGTAAAGAAAAAATAACAGAAAAAATAATTATCAGAGAAAAATTTTCACGGTAATAACAATATTAATTAAACCATTCTTTGAACCTTTTTAATTCTTTTGCCACAACTTATATGATTAATAGAAAACGTCTCCCATTCGCATGTATTACTGTAATAACTTGACCCCCATTTCCCAGTATCCCGCATGTACAGGTGTGCATCCACTAACAAGTGTCCCATCCGCAGGTGTACGTCAGACGAAAGGTAGTTGGCCTGAGTCAAGTGCTGTTCCACTTTCGGTATTTCCTCAGCACTAGTGAAGACCTTAATAAGGGAGGTACCCATCCTGAAGGTGGTTGGCTTACTCTGATGTCTCTTCGTTTTTGTTATTATCTGATTATTTTGTTAAATGTAGGAATGTTCTCGATTTTTTTTGGGGGTGGGGGTGGGGGTGGGGGGGGGGGTGGGTTGGCAGTGTATCTCATTATCATGATGTTAACACTTTTTTTCTTTTTTTAAATTTTTTTTCAGCGTTTTCCCTTTATTTTTCTCGAGTTCACTCTCGCTCCCTCTCCCATTCACTCTTTTTCTGTCTCTCCGTACATCTCCCTCTCCCTCTCCCCTCCTTTCTCTCTCTCTCTCTCTCTCTCTCTCTCTCTCTCTCTCTCTCTCTCTCTCTCTCTCTCTCTCTCTCTCCTCTCTCTCTCTCTCTCTCTCAAAAAAATAATAAATAAATAAATATAAATAATAATAATTGATTAAAAAAATACCTGAGTTAAGTTCCCTCTCTCTCTCTCTCTCTCAAAAAATTCATTGATAAAAGTTCTATGCCATTTCTTGCATTGGTTTACCCAGTTACCCTTACTTGCAGGTGTACCTCGTCCAAGGAAACACCAGCAAGCTTCTGTCCGACAACTTGCAGTCACATGGAGCCTGGCAGGACAGCAATTTATCTTTGGACGTTTCTGGAACTTTCGAGGTGACTATATATACGAAGTAGGATATAAGATAGTGGTAATTGTGTACATCAATGGTGTAATTTGGTTGTATCGGGGGAACCGTTTGTTTATGTTAATGTATTTCATGTCATTTCAATTTCAGATAATTTTTGAGGGAAGACTGATGAAAAAAGGTAATGAGATAGCTTTGGATGACATCACAATCCGTGGAGTAGGAACTGGCGATGGAGAAGCGGGCTCAGATGACCAGCAGGAATACGACGTAGAATCTTCAGGAACTAGTCCGGATGAAGCTGGAAGGAATGAGACCGTCGCAAATTCGACAGCCGTTGGCAATGAAACTTCAGGCGCTGGTGATGAGACCGACCAAGGTACCGCAGAACCAGAGACTAACACTGAAGTTCCGCAAAATGCGACGGAAGAAGTTGAAGGGAGTGTGACGGAGGCACCGGTCGTCACTGGGGATTCAGAAGTAGAAAGCAATGCCACTGATATTCCCATAGATCTGCCGGGAATTACTGAAGGCGAGGGGTTGAATCAAGGTACTGAAAACAGTTCATTAGTCACAGTTTCCGTTGATAACATCTCGAGCGCTCCAGGTAATGACAGCATAACAGATAATGCCACTGAGTCTGCGCTAAACGAGACAGCAACCGTCACTCCTGCACCAGATAGTGTCGAGAATAATACTGAGGAAGCGTCGCAGGATCCCCTCGCTGTTAACGCCACAGTTGAAGTACCGGAAAATGAGAACATGACTTTGTCAATAACTGATTTCCCTGTTAATGCTACCGAACTTCCCGAGACTAATGCAACGATAACATCTAACGGTACAGAATTTGTTAACGAGACGTTTAGCCCGGTTAATGCCACAGTAGAACCCTCAGTAGATCCTCAGTTCACCCCAGGAGTTGAAGGTAATGGCAGTGTATTTTCCAGTACCCCGGTGACTAGCTTCATTACCGAGTTTCCCCCACCTCACGGACCACCGACAGACATCATTACAGACCCGTACAGTCCCATTAACACAACAGTAATGACGAATTTCACTACCCCTTCAGGCAGTGCCAGTACAGGAGATGCTGCTATTCTCGCCGGAGATGATATTACTTCGAGCTCATGGGGAATGTTCAAGATCTTCCTGGTCATCTGCGTGCTGGGAGTGGCGGCTCTGGGCTTCCTGTACTGGCGAAAACGCCGTCAGCAAGATGACGAGATCCCTGTATTCACCAGGTCGTCCCACGCAGACTACCATAACCCGACCTTCTCACCGGATGACGACTCCAGCTTTGCCTCACAAGGAACGAGGCATAATTACAAATCCTTTGATTAATCAGAGGGGGGCTGTCTTCCTGTAACAAGTCTAGGAAGATTAGGCTACGGGTTAGGACGTTGTGAGGTTATCAGGGAGTGCTGTACTTAGGATGCCCAGTGGAATTGGCTGCTGAACCTTTGATTGGAATTCCGTTGTGCCATTGACCATGACAGTGAGCCTAGTCACCATGTTATGCTCTGCACGAAAAATAATGAAGTCTGTAATGTCATGGGTGTATTTTTTCTTTCGAAAAACAGACAAACTGTGCCTCCAGACTAAGTTTAATAGAGTGAGAGTGAGAGAGAGAGAGTGTGTGTGTGTGTGAGAGAGAGAGAGAGAGAAAGAGAGAAAGGGAAGGGAGGGTAAAAGAGGACGGAAACAGTGTGGGAAAGTGTGTGTGTGTTTGTGTGTTTGTCGTCTTTCTGTTTGTCTGCCGATACTGCTTAAGTGACAGCATTAAGCGTGAATGAACTTCATGACTGAGAGAGAAATGAGTGATACAAATTAGTGTATATAGTTAGGCAGAGATGGTACTAGTAAAAATAAAGATATATACAACTTTGTTAGTATCATTCTATATAAACATTATAACTGAAGGTTTAAGTCATGACATTGTGACGCGATAAGAGATCTATGCAGAGGCCACATGTTATGTCGATTTTATGAAAAACGAAAAAGAACAGCGTTCCGTTTCTTTGTTTTGTTTTAAATTGAAAGTTCGTGTTTCCTAAAATGAATGCTTCTATATAAGTATATGTGTACATGGATATGGAAAATATACTTACACATATAATACACACACACATGTATATGTATATATATAAGAATTCGATTCTGAGTAGAAAGTCGCCTCTATACCCGCATTCTTTTTGTAGTAGATCTTTAGAAATATATATATATATCAAGTGTTATGACATTGCAGAATTACGTGGGGAGGTATAAGAAAGAGGGAGATTAATCTCATTGTTGCAGCTTGGTGAAATGGTGAGTCTTTTCAATCAGATTTGAAAAAATTTTATGTTTATCATGTTGGTATCCATTATATAATTCACCAAGTTTATAAGAGTACAGCATGACTGTAATCGACTAAAAAGTAAAGTGACAACATTTATCTAACATCACCTGTGCCCTGTTTTGAGACTGATGTTTCTAACACATGTCTTGTGCAATTTCCTAAGCTCACCTCACACCTGAAGTAATCCCAAAAATACATATGTGGAGAGAACATTTTCTACTCAGAATCACATGTAACTATATATATATATATATATATATATATATAATATATATATATATATATATATATATATATATATATATATATATATATATAATATATCATATTTAGATACATACATAATATATATATATATATATATATATATATATATATATATATATATATATATATATATATATATATATATATATATATATGCCCCCCCCCTATGCACTAAATATGTGTGTGTATTATATATATATATATATATATATATATATATATTATATATATATATATGTATATATGTATATGTATATGTATATATATATATATATATATATATATATATATATATATATATATATATATATATATATATATATATATATATATATAATGTCCATATAAGAGCAAAGTATAAACTGGTATGTATGAGTGTACATAAACAAAAATACTATGAAACTAAATCATACAGACAGGGATCATGAAATAGGATGGAGGTTGTAAAGAGCTAAATCAATACCTGATAGGTTGTTTTATTTTAAGATTGTCATGGTTTAGGTTACCATAGTCATGTGGCTATGTTATTAAAACTTGATATTCATGAAATTACTGAAAGAGTGAAGATGATTTTGATTTAAAAGCTGTTTGGCCGTATTCCTAAGATATTCTTCTTTTGCTTTTGTACATCTGCAACACTTAAGAGTGGCAAAGGCTAACTCTACAAAATACACATTATTCAGATTTTATCTTATGTAATGCATTGATTATGGCTGAGTCAGAACATGCCTGCTCTTAACTGTTACTTCATCTTATGATTTCTTTGTCTTACTGAGTTAATGTAATACTTGTAAATATCTAAAAATGTATTACAGCTCATCAAAACTTGTTTCTTGTATAAATTAGATGGTATTCCAGAAGTTACAGGGCATATGAGGTAATTTTTTTCATGTTTTTGGATTACAGTGTTTCCAAACATTGGAAAATAAAAACATAAACAGAATACTAGACAATTTTTCACGTATTTTTAAAATGTATCTTTTCAGACTCTATCTTCTTTTTTAATAATGAAGGATTAAGGCCTAACCATGTGCATAATAAACTATATGAATTATATCTCATATTCTTGCTTGCCAGATATATATTACATATTCTGATCATTTGTTCAATAAATATTTATTACAACATTATTTGTTTCTTTACCATTGTACTTGATAGGTAAGAATATGCATTCAGGCAATACTACACATTACATCTACGTAGTATTTGGTCATAAGCAAACAAAAAATATCTTTCATTAATCAAATATTCATTAAAAATAGCCTATGTTTCACTTTTGGGTACAGGTTCCATTTTTCATATATAACAAATCCAGTTTAGAGAATGTTAAGGTCTTCACCTAAAAAGGAAATATGATATATGCATGAACACAAGAAATAATTTTCTTATAAAATCTAAGCTTTGTGACAAGATAAATTTTATATCTTCTATTATTTCACTATAATACAGAGGTTAACCCACAAAATAATAATGTGTTTTTGTCTTTACATTTTATTAGAAATACATTAACTATGACAAATTTATACATGGAAGAAAAAAGTTATACTGGTGACATGCCAGCTCTTGGACATTTTTGCAGGAGTGTATGTAATGACATACTATATGTGCTGTCCCACGATGCATTACACCAGCCCGAGTCATTATGGCACCATAGATTATTGACTGAGCTAGCATACATGTGTGAAGGGGGACACAGAGGGCCTAAATGTGGCTTTGGGTGAGATGAATAAAAGTTATCTTAAATTTCATAGGGGAAAGCCACATGAAATGTACATGGTAAATATATATAATCATTTAAAAGCTAAAGAGCTGGATTTTGAGCAATGTACTTTTTGCAAATTTGGTCCCTTCATTTCTATCAATTTGATATCTATACTCACCCAAAAGCACACTCTTCCTAAAGATGTGAAGGGTATGTGGGTGACAGCCTAAAAGATAGTGCAATGGAGCAAACCATATCTATGCTGACTGTTAACATGTTAACATAGACATTCATATGAAATGCCTTGAAATAAACTGATCATTAAAGTAATTTACAAGGCAGTATACATTACTAAACTGTGGTATAAATCACCTCATAGCTATAATTGCTTAATTCTGTCTGCCTATACAGAATTTCTATTACCAACCACAAACATGTCAGCATACTTAATTAAAGGAACCACTATGTATAACCTTTCACAATAAATACATCAAACTGGAAAAGACATTTCCTTGACAAGATTACTCACTTTGAGCTTTAGGATCCCTTTTCCAAAGAAGAGGATCCCACTTACAACATTAATAAAGTAACACCAGCAAGCATCCTTTAATCATCTTTGTGTCTTAATGCATAATTTGAGTAATTTGTCTGTTAATTAATCCTGCTCTTGCTTTTTCATACCTGCATGAAATTCAAAAAAATTCATTCATATGAAAAACTGAAAACAGTATCTGTAAGATTAATGAATACTATTCGGAAACAAAGAAACTATTCTCAAATCAAGAATGATAACTATGATAACTATTTATAGATAAGAATGACTTGTGCATTAGTGAAAGTTACATCAAACTAATGGAAAGATTGTCACCATAAAGAATAAAGCACTTTTTGCAATGCAAAAAGGCAAAGCATTCTTTTGCATGAAGCTGGTGAGAAGCGTGAAACCCTTCCATGTCATATCTTTATCCAGGTTTACTTTTTC